CATAACGAGTGATCGAATTCCTGGTAGGTCAAACTCCTGAGGGGACATTTTGCATATCAGGCTTTAGTATATATAGAAAGGACGTTAAGAAAACATTGGGCCCCGGCTAGGTAGCTCAGTTGGTTAGAGCATCATCTCTATACACCAAGGCTGCAGGTTCGATTCCTAGTCAGGGCACATGCAAGAATCAAGCAATGAATGCATAAATAAGTAGAACAGCAAACCTCTCTCTCGCTCTCTCTCTCTCTCTCCCTCCCTCCCTCTCTCGAATCAATAAATAAAACAAATTTAGGGGAGCATCGGATTCTAAGCACAGCTTCTTACAGCTTATGTTCTCCTGACTTCAGGGCCTATTCACCTTTCCCCCCAACCAGCTTTGGAACGACTTGAGGAAAATAAACAGCCACTTCACAACTAAATAATTGCCTAAATTAAATCCACCTCTCTCTGCTGGAAAAATAATGCCGGCTGCTGTTCTTTCCACATTTCTACAGAATTACAGACCATCTCCATCTGCCGTGCTAATGGATCAGTTAAACAAAAGCCCTCCCCCTTAAGGAGCTTCCACTGCCTCTCTCAAGACAAACACACTGAAATAGGACAGTTAATTAGAGGAAGAACGGACTGATTCACTGTTTGCTTCCGTGTAGGAGCCAAAGGAGTGCGAGTGAGAAAGAAAACGTCCAATTGGGCAGCGGAATGGGGAGGCAGGCAGAGTGCAGTTCGAGACCTAGACAAACTTGGGGGCGTGGGCCCACGTGCTGGAAGTCAGGGAACCCTGCCTTCCAAACCACATTAAAAAAAAAAAAAAAAAAAAAAAAAAAAAAAAAAAAAAAAGCCGGGACGGGTTTGGCTCAGTGGATAGAGCGTCGGCCTGTGGACTGAAATGTCCCGGGTTCGATTCCAGTCAAGGGCATGTACCTTGGTTGAGGGCACATCCCCTGTGGGGGGGTGTGCAAGAGGCGGCTGGTCGATGTTTCTCTCTCATCGACGTTTCTAACTCTCTGTCCCTCTCAATTCCTCTCTGTGTAAAATCAATAAAATATATTTTTTTTAAAAGTTTTTATTGATTCCTTTTAGAGAGAGGGGAAGGGAAAGGGATAGAGAGATAGAAACACTGATGAGAGAGAAACATCATCGATCAGCTGCCCCCTGCACACCCCATACCAGGGATCCAGCTCACAACCTGGGCATGTGCTCTGGCTGGGAATCTAACAGGGACCTCCTCGTTCACAAGTCAATGCTCAACCACTGAGCAACACCAACCAGGCCACATTGATTTGGGGGGGGGGGGGGGGAGGAAGGGAGCGCATAAAATGTCAAGAGGTTCATCCTTTGGTGCCTGCTCATGGACCCCGGGTGTACAGAACCTCTGGCCTCACTTCTAGAATTTACTCCACAGTGTCACTGCCCACAGCGAGGTGCATCTAAAATGCTCTGTGACAAGTGCTCTATAATAGCCAATGATGGGAAACAACCTGAAGGGCCCTAGAGGGGGGACCCGATTAGCAAAGATCACGACCAGTAACAAGATCGTAATGGGATGAACCGATGAGTGTCCAGAAAACGAAGACCGAAGCGCGCGGGTAAGTGGAAAACTCAAGGTCCAGACCGAGGGGCGGAGCAGAACTGGGCCACACAGTATTCCTGGAAGGCTGCACAAGAGACTGGAAGCATGTTTGTGTCCGAGATGGGAGCCCGGACCATGAGGAACGTGAAGTCGGAAGAAATATTACTTTTTAAGTTTTAATCTGGGTTATTATTTTTTAATCAAAAGAAAACTTGTTGTAGATAGATTAATAGTCGAAGGGAGAGAGATGGAGAAGGGGGGAAGGGGGAAGAAGAAAAGAGAGAGAGAGGAGAGGAGAGACTGGTGGTTTTAGAACTTCTGATCTAGCCAAGTCCCAGAGCGGCCCTAGCCCTGAGAACAGTGGGTAATGAGAGACGTTGGGCACAGAGACATAAAGGGGCAAATATCTCATAAACGCTTTTCCCGGCTCGGGCGGCTGCCGGGCTGAGAGCAGCTGGGCCTTCTCTCGCTCGGCGTGGGGCTCTGCTGGCTTGTCCTCCAGCCGAGCCAACCCCGGGACATCAGCGCGGCAACGCCAATATTATTTTTTAAAGGCTTCTGTTGTTCACTAAACACCCATTAAACCAATCTCCTCGCCCATTTACAGCGAGCTGAAGGGCAAATCCAGATGGCACACATACTGCACACTCGGGCCTGAGCTGCAGGAGGCCGGTCATCAAACAGCCATTATGCAGCTTAGAGGCCGCCAATGCCTGCCACCCGCGTGTGTCCAGGTGAGAAAAGACCTTTCCAGAGCCAGCTGGGCTGGCTCCCTCTTGGCAAACCATCTTTGAGCTCCCCACCCCGCCTTCTCCCCCCTCCCGCCCCTCCCCACCACCACGCCGCCCCTGCTGGGGGGTGGGGAGGGGGGCTGAATTTGCTTTTTGTATCTAAACAGCAACAGCAGCTGAGGGTTGCCTGGTAACCTGGGAAGGCGCTTTGTCTGGGTGTCCCTGAGCAGAGGACAGACTGCCGCTCCCTCCCACACGGCTCTGGTGGCCACGCCGATCCCGCAGTCTCAGCTCCCACTGGCCTCTATGCCTACGGCGCCCTGGAAAGGGTCCATGGGAGGGATACCCCTGTTTATCTATTCTGATTGACAGGCATTCCCCCTCTGGTCTTCGGATAAAGAAAAACAAAAGGAACAGAACGCAATCTATTGCTGAGTTTTCCATCCTCGAGAGGCTCGGGACTAGGGCTGGAGCCTCCCAGGGGGCACACAGGATGGCTAGCCCACCCGGTGCAGCTGCTGAGAAGGAACAGGAAGCCCTCGGTCCCCACATTCCCACCGCTCACCATGAAAAACACGCGCTTTCAAAACAACAAGGCGGTACCGTCTCACACCTGTCAGAATAGCCAACATCAACAGATCAACAAACGACAAGTGTTGGCAAGGATGCGGAGAAAAAGGAACCCTCGTGCACTGCTGGTGGGAATGCAGACTGGTGCAACCACTGTGAAGAACAGTATGGAATTTCCTCAAAAAACTGAAAATGGAACTCCCATTTGACCCAGTAATCCCACTCCTAGGAATATATCCCCAAAAGCTAGAAACACCAACCAGAAAGGATATATGCACCCCTATGTTCATAGCAGCACAGTCTACAATAGCTAGAATCTGGAAACTGCCTAGGTGCCCGTCAGCAGATGACTGGATCAAAAAATTATGGTCTAGCTATACAATGGAATACTATGCTGCCATAAAAAAGAAGGAATTCTCATCATTTGCAGCAACCTGGATGGAACTGGAGAACATCATGCTGAGTGAAATAAGCCAGTCAATGAAAAATACCACATGACCTCACTCATATATGGATAATAAAGAACATTATAAACTGATGAACCAAAAGATAGATATAGAGACAGTAAAGCAACAAGCAGACTGTCAAATTACAGCGGGAAGGGGAGGGAGATCTGGGGGAGGTAAGAGATCAACCGAAGGACTTGTATACATGCATATAAGTACAACCAATGGACACAAAACTCTGGGGAGGGAGGGCATGCATGGGAGTGGGGGGCAATGTTAAAATATGTACACAGAAAATAATTTAATAAAATAAATAAAGAGTTTTTCTGAAAGAAAAAAAGAAAAAGAAAAATGCGCGCTTTCCTGGAGCCCGCTGGCCCGTCATAGCCACCAGCCGGTCTGGGTGCTCAAGACGAGAACAGCAGACAGCACCCATGTCGTCGGAGCCTGAGCGGATGTGTGATGGGAGGCAGGGGCAGGCTCTTCCCGCTGAGCCTCTCGTCCCTGAGCTCACGTGAGGGTACTTTTTATTTCCTGACTGCATCCCGCGTGAGAAGTGGTGGGAGCTCACGAGGAGAACATATCCCGGTTCTCCATGAATAATTCATGCAGGACGCACACAGAACATAGATTCGTGAGGTCTGGCTGTGGCACCGCTGTGACTGTTTTGTACGCGGCCTGTCCCCTAGGTTTGGAGGTCACCGAGCCCGCACGTGATGCAAACATCAAACTGTAGTGACTGCACGGAGCGGGGAAGACCTTTCTCCCTGAAGCCCCTGGTGTGACGGTGGTGACTGGGCACCCAGCCGCTCCTCCCTGGTCCGCTCCGGAGAAGCCCGGGCAAGGAGAGGTGCCCGTCCCCAGCACCATCTGCCTGGCGTCAAGTCCTGAGTCCACGGCCCACGGAAGAGTGGGGAGGGCGAGGGTCGCCCGGGGCTTACAGGTTAAATGTGGGACTTAAATTCAACCGAAAAGAAAGGCATCCGCCTCTCCTCACGCTAACTGGCCCTTAATCAGCCCAATGCCCTGAGTGAACGACGGTGCACCATGGGGGTGGGGTGGGGTGGGGATGGGTCTCACAAGGAGCCTGGAAAGCAATGCCACCTTCCTAGTTCACCTGCAACTCCCGCTCAGTGGGCCTCAGCCAGTCTGCCATCCCCTTTGATCCCCCCCCCCCCCCCCGGAGATTCGAGGGCGGCTATGTGATTCCCCTCAAGGGAAGCACGCCCTCCAACCAGAAGGCATGACTTTGTGGCGGTTTTTTTTTTTTTTTTTTTTTTTTTTTTCGGTTTTCTGGCTCCAAAACACTGAGCCCGTGAGGGAAATGGCCAGTTTCCCCGATGAATCAGAAAGAGGAAAGTCACGTAAGCGGGAAGGATTCATCCGAGAGGGGGCGACACAGGGACAAAGGGCCTCACGCTCTGACCCAGACCAGCCCGGTCCCACCCGAGGCGTCCGTGTCCGCTGTCCCAATCGGAAGGACGATCAGGAGGCGCGGTGACCTCCCGTGCAGCAAGCAGGTGGTTTGGAGAGTAAGTGAGACGACGGGAAGGCCCTGGGCGTGGTGGGGTGAGTCCCGTGGAGGGGTGGGCCTGAGCCCCTGGAATTTCCGCCATTCCTCCTGCCCCCAGGCCCCGGCCCGCCCTGCCCAGCTCAGCCCGGGGTCCGCAGCGGCGAGCTTGCCTGGAAGGGGCCCAGCGCCCCCGATCCGGATGGACAGTTCGCTTGCGGGGAGGAGCAGCCTGGGACTCTCGGCATCAGACTTCTTCATCCACGCGGGGTCCACGTTCAGGGCCAGGGCCATGTGGGGGTCTTCCGCCACGCCCTGAAACGAGAAGCAGACGCTGTGACACCTCTCCGAGCTTCAACCCCCATACCCTCCCACTCAGAGCTGCCCGGCAGCTGCCAATCTCTACCGAGGGCGCAGGGCCACCGAGCCAGGCCCCAGCCAGACCCAGCTGTGGGCAGGCGGGGTCGTTAGGAGGACGACGAGCTTTCTGGTTGTAGGACTTTTGGGGGTGACAGAAATGGGATGTGCGGGGTCCGTGCCGATCCTGGAAACGGGCAGTACACAGCCAAATCCCAGCCCGCCGGGGAGAGGGCGCCGCCGGCTCCGCCCGGGCTCCGGCCAGGAAGCCCATCCGGCAGGTTCGCTTGGATGGCGGCATGGCCACCACTTTCCAGACATTCGCCACCTTCCCGGTTCTCACAAGCTCAGAAGGGAAGGCCGTCTGAGCTATACCCCTGGAAGGAGGGGGACGGAGAGCGCCGCGGAGGTCCCAAAAGCAACCGCGCCGCCTGCTGCTTCGCCCGTCACCAATTAATTCGACCTTGTGCGTCAACCAGGCCACGTCCTCATTTCAATCCCCACATTTACTCCACAAACACTGACTGACCACCAATTCTGTGGCTACTTTGGCGAACAAAACAAGACAACATCAGCTCTCAGGTTCCACAGTTAAGAGCAAACAGGTGGTCTTGGCCGAGTGGTTGCAGGTTCCCAAGGTTGCAGGTTCGATCCCTGGTTAGGGCACATACAAGAGGTAACCAATGAATGTGTCAAAAAGTGTGATAATAAATCAATGTCTCTCTCTCTCTCTCAAATCAATATATAAAAAGTAAAAGAAGAGCAGATAGATGAATCCACAATGAGCTTCTACTCCCACAGCATCGGCCGGAACTCCCTGGCCCTGCTGACAGCTTACAAATGCACAGGATTTCAAGGGGAGCGAGGAAGAGGAGTGACTCGACCAACACACACACCTCCGCTTTCACCCCAACCCCTAGACGCCAAGGGAAGGTGAGCGGAGTCATCTCGATGAGCATAAAAGCAGTAGCTACTGACTGAAAACCAGGCAATAACAGCTCCAGACAAACAGAAGCTTCCCTTTAAGAACATGCCTCTCTGACATGAGAGAGGAGGGGGTTGCTGACCCAGCCCCTGAGTGCAGCCATTCATGAGCAAACACTGGGACCGTTTTCTCCGGTGAGTTTCTTTCATGACAAGAATCTCGTGAAAATGGTGCTTGGCTGCATCTTACACACACACACACACACACACACACACACACAGGGATAAGAAAGAGAATTGAGTGATCCAGACATTTTATTTCATTATTTCTTTCCAAAGAAAAGCTAGAAGCGAAAACATCAACCCTTCTGTCTACATCTTCTCCTTCGTCCCACATCGGTTTCACCCCCATCGTTTATTTGCAAATGTCCTCCATTATGCATAGAAGGGTGCTGACACCTCATTGAAGTTTGTTTTAAAAGGCGGCGGGGGGGGGGGGGGGGGGTAGTGTGGAGGGGGGTCCTTCTGTAGAATCCTAGGGGCTGCAGGACGTCACCTGCTACCTGCTCTGTCCCTGGAAGAAGCACGGAGAAACGGCCTGCCACACTGGGCAACACTCAAGGTTGACGCCACAGATGGACGGAATCCTGGGGACAGAAGGGACGTGGGGAAGGCCCGTCTCCCCCTGCGGACGCCCCCCTCCCCACTGAGTGACAGCTGGCGCCGGTGCCGAGCGCCATGTGCCAGGGCCGCGGCTCTTTGTTTACGGGTTTAATTATTTCTAACCCTACAGCTCCTGCTGACATCGGAGGGATCTGGGCGGCAGCAGTAAAAGACGTGCCTCTCGGGGGCCGGAGGCGGGCGGCTGACCTTGCTGTGCCTTCCTTCTGTTTAGAAGGGGATGGATGTGTGGCCGGGAGGGGGCTGCGGGAGAGAACCACTTCATCACGGCGAGGCGAGGCACAGCGCCATGGAGGCACGCCAGGCTGCTTATGAAGGAGCGGCCCGGAGAGCACCGTTTTAATTGGGAACTGGTTTTCCAGGGGCGGTTTTCCCCCACCCCGCCACCACCTGGAGGCACGTGGCCATGGGCATCTTTGTATGTGGGGGAGGGAGAGAGGGTGGGGCTGGCACCCTACAGGGCACCCTCCAGTCGCACCACAAATGACCTGGCCGAGCGTCCACAGTGCTGAGGTTGAGTGCTCAGGACCCCAAAGCTCCCTGGTTATTGGTAACTCTGGGCACCCACAGACCCTCTTTTCACTATAAGGATAAGGTGTCAGCCACTTCCTCCAGGAAGCCTGTCCCTTGCAAAGCACAACTAGGTAAGTGCCATCAGGTGCCAAAGCCCTGGCGGTCCCCTACCCCCAAAAGTCACTCCCTCGCCCCCAAATGTCACGGCAAGCAGCCTCCCCACCCCCGTGTCCACCTGTCCCTGTTGCTCCCCACGCTGGGATGTGTCCCCGCTCGCAGGGGAAGCACAGCCACCCCCTCTCGTGGACTGTGGCAGCCTGACTTCACCGACCCCACGCCGCAGCCTATCACGTCACTGAGGACTGAGCTTCCCGGCCCCGGGGCAGGTAATCTATCTAATGGAGGTCAAACTCCCTGACGAAGGGCCGAGAGAAAGGGCAGAGAGCTAATTGTGTTCCCTGCCAGCCACAGCCAGGCCAGGCCCATGGCCCCCCAAGGCCGAGGGGAGAAGGATCTAAAGACCAGCCGCCGCCGCCCTCAGGGACTCCGAGGCCGCGGGAGGCTGGGAGCTCTGCGGGCTCTGCCTCCCTCCTCTGCCCCCACCGGCCCCCCGCGTCCCTCGCCATCCCCGCCTAACCCAGACACTTCAGGTGACATTAAATAATTGATGCTGTTTTTATTACTGAGGGATTGCAATAATGATGACATCCGTAAGACAGCCTTAAAGTATTCCACATGATGGAAAAAACTAAAGATCCCCCCTGCCAGCAGCCCGAATATGGATGAAGCTGACATAACAGGTGACCTTCTCTCCCCGGGGAGCCGGGCAGCGGCCTGCTGCCCAGGGCCAGGGCGGCTCAGGGGGGCAGGGACCGGCCTCAGAGCAAACAGGAGCACAGGGTGGCCGAGACTCTGAGGCAGCAGGCTCCGTCAGCAGGTCACTGCCGTCTTCCTGGTCTCAGTTTGCCTGTATGTTCCAGGTCATGGGTCAAGAAGCCTCAAGATATGTTGTTTCAAAATTCGAGGTCCCTACTGGTTTCAAGGGCACCAGGATTGTACCTCTAACTCCATGGGAGGCCCTGTCCTGACAACAACAAAATAGCACCCAGTGAGCGGCCAGCCAGGCCTGGTCTCCAGCTCCTCATTTCCTATACTCGATGCTCCTAAAATCCTGGCTGAAGAAGCCGAGCTCCCTCCTAGATTAGCCTCCTCGCTGTGCTGCCCCGACATTCCACATGCGCTTCTGTCGTCACGTTTGCAAAACTGCACAGTAAACTTCCCGTTTCCTTGGCTCCTGAGATGCTGAGAGCAGGAGCTGTGGCTTCCAGCTCGACTATCAGGCCCAGCACAGTGTCAGTGTTTAATAACCAAGTTCAATAACTGACATGAACAATATCACAGAAAATCCAAAATGATGTACAGCAAACATGTCAGACTCGTGGCCCTCGGGCCACACGCGGTCCACAACGAATATTTTTGCGGGCCCAGCTCCTATAACGGTATGCAAGAAATGTTTTAATAAAAAATGTAATAACTTCCTTTTTACAATATCCCGTTATACATAATTATTAGTAATGAACTAAAATGTTAGCTAATCACTGATTTCTATTAATAATCGTGTTGCATTCGTTTCCCTTATGTGCCTTACACACAGGCGCACCATTTCTCTCCCCTAATACTAGCAGCCGATGGCAACGTCGTTAGTCTTGTACTGACTTGTTTGGTGTGCGCAACAGGAAATATTTCACTTTTGGAGAACAAAAAAAATCGGGTTATCTGTGTTATGCTTATTAATTTGTGCAGTTATTCAGTATCTGGTAAGTTAATGTTCAAGGGAAAAAAACTTAGTTTTTATTAATATGTTCTATTATTTTATGTTAACGATGACTCATTTATTTCAGCCCTTTGCACTCAGCATGTCTCTATTGAATAAGCCTACATTTCCATGAAAATTGAAGCTTTCTTTGTTTTTTTTGTGGCCCACATAAACTTAAACCTTGTTTAGTTGGCCCGTTGTTAGCCTTTGAGTTTGACATGCTTGCTGTACAACATAAAAAACAAAGACCCAGGGAAGCACACCATGGTTAGGCCTTGAGAAGGAAGGAATGGGAGATTAGTGCAGAGCGGGAGAGAAAAGGCTTTAAAAGTATGAAAGACTGCGTGGCTGGCGTGGCTCAGTGATTGAGCATGGACCTATGAACCATGAGGCCAGGGTTCGATTCCCGATCAGGGCACATGTCCCAGTTTCAAGCTCAATCCCCAGTGGGGAGCATTGGCAGCCAACCAATGATTCCCTCTCATCACTGATGTCTCTATCTCCCGCTCCCCCTCTTTGAAATCAATAGAAATATTGATGGCAAATGCATCATGACTTTCTACCACCCTACCAGCTCCTGTCCTCTTGATGACTGTGGAAGAGCCTCAAGATCAGTCCTGAGCCCCATGAGGATGGGCAGCTAGTGACTCTCAGCCCACAGGTTCTCACTCCACTTCCTTCCTGGCAGAAGCAGAGCGGGGCAGCCCAGCTCACTCTCCCGAGGTGAGTCATTCCCACCCTGAAGCCTGTGACCACCCCAAGGCACACCTTCCAGCTTCCTCCCCAGCTCCTGCGTGATCCCTGGCCTGAAGCTTCCGGAGGGGGAAATGAATTGCGAACGTCTAGCTCAATATAAGCCAGATGAGGCTGCTGCTACTCACACTGTCTTTGTTGGGACAAAGGCTTCTCCTGTCGCTGCTGCCAAATTACTATTCATAATCAAGCCTATTGAGGCCGATGAGACAGAGCTGAAAGCACCCCCGGCGCGGCAAAGACTCAGCCCTCCAGCAGGTGCACCAGGTGA